TAACCATTTACCGAGTTTTGATAAATAATACACGTGGTACTGTTTTTGCTTTATTGTAAAATACAAGTAAAGCGTAAATAAGGAAGATACAGATCTTGTGAAAAATTTTACAAACAGCAGGAATTTACTCAAAGAATCTAGTTTTTGGATATGTAGCAAAATAATTTAACATAACGTAAATCTGGTAGACATTAATGCCTGCGCCGCCTGAACAGGCGGTTGTAACGTCAGTCGTAGTAGGGATGTTCGAGATGGGAGAAGAAGATTGGAAAATTTTGAAGAGGACTCCGATGAAAGACATCACACCTACGACGATTTGGTTTTAGCTGGTGGTGCAACCGGAGGATCAATCTATAAATTAAAATATTGCCAGAAATTTAGGATTGGAATATCTAAACCGGGCTTTGAAAAAAATGATGCTCTTAGTTCCTAAGTGTTGTGTTTGTAATAATATTTATCAGTATGTCAAACTGGCTTGACATGCTCGACACGCCCTTCGCAAGATATGGTTGTCATCGTATAGGGTGTTTTCGCAAGGTAAGACGCAAATACAAGATAATCTACAAACGCTGTTTTTTTACAGTCTTGTCTACGTTTTAAGTAAATTATGTATTAAATCAAAACAATATTTCTACTTCTTTCATCTCGATGCATCAACGCTTTTACTCACAGCAAAGTCATATTGACAGAGAAGAAGAGGCTTTTTAGAAAAACCCACTTGCACCAAGTTCAAATGACTACCAGCTAATGGAATATTTTGAGTTCACACAGTTACATTAATATGTCTCACGTAAATAAAGTCATGCATCTTTTCAGCTGATAAAATAAATTTGGCATTAATTAACAGCTCACATGCGTTCGGTGAAAATAAGTAATAGGCGTATCATAGACTGATTCGCTAATTATGTCAGTTGACAGTATCTTATGCAAAATGATCAAACGGCTCCCAGAAAGTGTCACCCACACAGAGGTCACTTTCGGCTATATATTGAAAAAATGCTTACCTTTTCTAAGAAAGGTGCCAACCATTTCCATCGAGGCAATACCACATTTCTAAGAAATCCACAGAAAACCAAGAAGAATGGTATGGCAGTTGAGCCAACCATCAGAAATTCGTACTCTCCAAACACCAGAAGAGTATACAGAATTACTAATTCCACTAGCCAGATTGTTGTGAATACCAAGACTTGCGGCCGTGGCATGCCGTTTAGTTTATTCCAGTCTGACCAATACTTCCTTCTGCTAACCATAGCTGTGAGTAGCTTTCGAAAATGAAGGCCTTTAAGACCAAATATTCCGAGGAACAGGAACAAGCCAAGCAATGCAGCCACAGGAATGTACTGAAGAATGTCGCCCAGAAATACAGACAGGGTAACGAGTACGCCGACAATTAGGGTATTAATACGTGTCTCGACAAGGTAAAGCACCCTAAAAGCAAAAGATGAATCATATGAGTCACATTGTCTAAGTCAGGTTTTTCATAAGAAACGCCGATTGTTCAGCATATTAAAAGCATTAAAATTACCAAAATTAACCAGGATATGGCAGTGACTTTTTGGGAAATCTCCCTCTTACATATTTTCTCGCTTCTAATATTTCGATAGAATAAACTTCTTTTGCGAAAGCTTTGGGCTTATACTAAACGTATTGACGTTTGTCAGACATGCATTTGAGTGAGAAGGTAACTTTGAAGAAACTTGCTTCGGTCTCCTAATAGTACTAGTTCTCCAATTGGGAATAATTTTCTATATCTTCTTCCGATTTAGTCATTAGTAATCAAAGAATAAATATTTCACGGAAGCTTGCTGACCTGCTATTTTTACCATGTTTCATCGGAACTGTTTGAGCTACATTTCAATTATCTCAGCTCATTTCCTTTAAAATACCGAATATGGCGACATCTTGTTAATAATACCGCACATATATTCCGTTTTTCTTTCAGATGCATGTTTATTTCTGCATATTCACATTCGAAAACTAGCACATACGTCAAATATTTAGCAATAAAGTGTATGTTTTGGTTCGTTACTAAGTTAAAATGATTTCCTCTTAAGCCCTATTATACTGCTCTCGCCATTGAAATTGCTTTTTCCTCAGCAGTCGGCTTCGAAATTTTTGCTAAATGAGCAAACGGTATTTTACGTACTTTGGTGGTTTTCCGGGAGCTGGGTGGGATTCCAACTTAGCCAAGGCAACCATGTTTGCGATTGTGCGTATTGGCACACCGGACATAATTGGCATTCCAAGGAAAAGGCCCATTATGGGGAAAAGTATGCAAGTGAACAAATGGTCAATGACGATTGGGCTTTTCTTCTTCGACAGTCCTCTTAGGGGTACAATACTAAAAGCGACACAAAAAATAATGCTTTATATAACGCAAGTAAGAACCGTATTTAAATTTTTCATCTAATATCTCAATCATATAAACAGCGCATGCATCGAAGGTAGAAAGACTTGGTTAACGCGTATGTGGTCGTTTTATACTCAGCTGACTTAACACATTATTTGGACTGCACCCTGCTGAACTCGCTTTATTCCCGGCGCAGATTGCGAAACAAATTTAATACTCAAAACTGGCAGTTGCATAGGGGCAACCGATTTGAGGCAAAAAATTGACACATCTGATACACTTAAACGTTCTTAAGATGGGCAGGGATAGTTTAGACAAGCTCGTAGCTTTAGAATGCATTGTCTGGCCTGGCTTTGTTTGGTGTACTAGGTCATAGGAAAGAAGCCTCTGTTTGTTAGCTATTTCATTGATATAACCACGTCCAAGAAGTTGATTTCTTGTGGGTTTGTTTATTCAATTGCTCCTGGTCTATTGAGATTTGCTTTTTGTTTATTTTTTAATTTCAATCTCGACCTCATTGCTGCATATAGGCCGTGAGGAATAAATTGGGCGAGCAGTTAATTAATGTGTGTATTCTTGCATGCCCCTGATGGCTTACCAATCTGCTTAAGGTGATACTCGTGCACTTACTGCAACTGCCACTTATTGATAATTGTTGCACACCTATAAGAGACAGCTAAAATATTAAAACAATTCATTCGTGCTCGACCTTGTTCACAAATATCTAACAAACATTCTAAATATGACAATCGGTAGCCTGTAGAAAACATTACCTGTTAAGTGCTATCTCAACAAAGACGAGAAATCCAAGAATAAAGCCGAGAATAACTGCGCGCCCATGGGCATACGCGGAAGTTGCAGTGCCGTAGTTTGTCATATTACTAAAGTCCGGTATGTTAAACCAAGTGGAGTAATTGAGTTGAGTCACAGGTGGGATCTTTAGCCGTTTGATATCATATGCCCAAAAGAATATCCGATTCATGGCAGACATTGCAATCATCCCAAGTGGAACATTCATGGCCCCGATCCAGAAGCGTACCTTTTGAAAGAAAGGAATATGTGTGATAAATAAACTCCCAAATACTGATAGACACAAACAAAGCGCAGTTAATAATGCATTCGTTTCAGAAAGATTTGTTAGCTAAATTTTTCTGTGAAGGTTAGTTAGGCGTGCAAATTAAGATAATTTCGGCAGGATATCTCACATTTTATCATATGATGTTGAAAGGTACGCATGGTCAACCCTATCCATACATCTTTTGCAGTTCACATCATGAGGTTGACTGCCTTCTGTTTCGATAACAAGCTCAAGTTAGTGTAATTGGTTTCGGTTGATGTTAAATACTGATTACTGGAGCTCAATCTCGACCCAGATATCTGGTATTGTGTACTTTTTGTCGGTCAAACAGCAACACAGACGGTAATGGAGTATTTTACTTACTTGTCGTATCCAACTTAAAGCAAGAAAACCGAAGACTTGCAGAACAAATAATTTTGAATTTAATGAGGGCTCAAGTGTGTGACTCGCAAGCATAGCATCTATCTCAAACATGAAGACTTAATGGTCCGTGACTAGGTTGTACTAGACTAAAACCTCCATCTCTTAGTCAGTGATACCACTTGAGTCCTTTAAACAGTACCGACAGACAATTGGGTCACGCGCAATGTGTATGCACATTTCCATGCTGCATGTGCGTGTGGTGGTATGCATCTGGTATGTCGGTAATGGCAGTCCAACATTTTTTGCGGTGGGTACCTAGCCTGTCGGATGCCCGCCAGGTGTGCTCGCTTTCTTCGGATCGCCAGTTACAGGGCTATTCATTTATATAGACCCCTATATGCATTTATATAGACCCCTGTATGCGCATTTATATAGACCCCTGTATGCATTTATATAGACCCCTGTATGCATTGT